AGAAATTCCACTTCTCAGAAGATACACAATGAATTAAAAATCTGTTTAACAAAAATGTCTACATAAATGTTTATAGTAGCATTAATCATAAGAGTCAAAACATAGAAACCAATGTCCATCAATTGAAAATAGGATAATCAAAATGTTTGCAATGGAGTATTATTCACCAGAAAAATGAAGTACTTACATAAGCTACAAAATTATATCATACATAATCACAAAAGATCACACATTATTCCATTTAAATGAAATGGCCAGACAAGGACAGGTTGGGGAGATTGAGAGGAAGTATTCACTAAAGACTAAAGAGTTCTGTTTTTTAGGTAATAAAAATCCTCTAAAATTGACTGGTGAATGGCTGCACTTCTGTGAATATATTAAATACCACTTAATTGCAAGTGTATTTTGCTTGGGTGAACTATATATGTAAATTTATCTCAATACAGTAGGTTTTTTTTTTTTTAAAAGACTGATTTATTTATGCATATACAGAACTGGGGTATAGGCCAGAGGTGCAGGTGTGGTAAGAGGATTCACCAGAGACAGAGTGGGGAGCAGAATAGGCAGAATGACAAAGTACACTGCTGAGGGGAGCAGCGGTGAGTCAGGAGAGGTCTGCCACGCCATGTGGGTCAGTTCTGGAGCTGATTGAAGAAGCTATGGGAAGCTTCATGGTGCTGTGCTTTAACCTGCTGCACCACCAGGGAGGACGCTCAATACAGTATTTTTTTTTTAAATAGGTATATTTTTAAAGATCATATTTGATTCAGAGAGACCAAAATTAACAAATATCAAAAACTTAAAAACAAGTAAGTACTAATATTTTTCCTTTTGCCCTCGGCTCCAATATGGACTCGCAGAGCACAGCTGCAGATTCTGACTTTAAGATCTCAATATTTTGCTCATTTTCTGCATTAATTTTATTTTTTAAAGTATCATCTTGAGTTTTTTGAAAACTTAAAAGAAAAAGAAGTCAAAAGAAACAAGTTCCTAGACAGAATGATTTAGAGTTCCCCTATCATATGTTTGTTGACAATAAATTCTCATTTGGGGCCTTTCTGTTGGTGCAAGAGTTAAAAGTCTTAAGTGTTATCAAGCTATTGCCTGCCACTGCAGCATGAGTTCAATCCTCAATCAGGGAGATAACCCACATGGCGCAGAAGACCTCTCCTGTCTTGCCCAATTCTCCCCTCAGCAGTGTATTTCAGTAGATCCACCCATTCTGCTCCCCACTCTGTCTCTGGTGAAGCCTTTCTGGCCTACACCCCAGCGTATGCATAAATAAATAAAAATAAATCTTTTAAATAAATGAATTCTCATTTTAAGATTGTTGGACTGAAGACTTGCTCTGCTATGTCAAAATTTTTAATAACTAAAGTCTGCATTAAAAGTGGTACAAAAACTTGCCAAAATTACATGTCTCTAAATTTTATCAGCAATTCCAACATTGACCACTACCATAAAAAGTGTCACCATGTGGAGGAGATGGCAGGGGAGTTTCATGTGTTTTTCCTAGAGATTAAAAGAAAGGCAAGCAGAGCAAACCCTACAGATGAAATGAACCTTTAAAAACTAGCCTAAAGTCTAAAATGAAAATGAGAAAAGGTTACTTTTTTCCCAGTATTTTTATTACTGGGAAAATGATGCTGTGAATGACATCTGAGAGTAAGCAAATGATGCCCTCTCCCTAAAGGTGTCCATGTCATAATCGCTGGACCCTGTGAATGTTACTTTACGTGGTAAAGGTAATATGTAGATATAACTAGGGATCTTGAGATGTAAAGAGTATGCTGGATTTTTTTAATAAGCCCAATGTAATTACAACAGTCTAGTAAGTGGGAGCTAGGTTAGTGAGAATAAGAGACAGATCTGATCATAGAAGCAGGCTAGAGATTTGAAGATGCGATGGTACTGGCAATGAGGGTGGAAAACCATGCTCCAAGTGAAGGGTAAAGGAGCGAGAAATCCAAGAAAATAAAATTCTTCCTTAAGAGAAAAAAAGGAACAGCCCTGGTAACACCTCAATTTTAACCCATTTTTAATTTCTGACCTCTAGAATTATAAGACATTAAACTTCTGTTTAAATAAGTTTGTGTGAAGCTGTTGAGGCAGCAATAGGAAACTAATAAACTTCTTTTAGGTTTTGGGCCTGTTGTCAATATACAGTGTTCATTTAATACAACCGTACTATTTTAACATCCCATTAGCTTCTAAAGAATATTTTTAATGGCAAAACAATTCAAGTCCTCCTCAGAAGTAATTTTAAACAAAGAGGCATTAATACACAATACTTAAAAAGAGCACTCTCAACTAGTAGTTTAGGTTAATCATCCTGGATGAAAAGGCTATGAAAAGATTTAAAATGTTTTTGCCTTTAATTCTGGTTAATACTCTTAGATTTCTAAGGAAACCAAAAAAGGACAAATGTTTATATGTGCAAAAATAGTCATCGTAGTTTCATTTATAATTCCTAAATGTTCTAAATACCAACAATTAGGAAACTGCTGAATAAGCAATGATAAACTGTTATGCAACCATTAAAAATGTGACGAAGGCCCTCCCTGGTGGCACAGCAGGTTAAAGCACAGCACTGCAAGTGAGTCACAGCCGCTTTCAGTGGGAGTTCGATCCCTGCCCCCTGCCCAGGAGGTGATCCAAATGGTGTGGCGGAATTCTCCTGCCTCGCCCTGCTATTCCCCTCAGCAGCGAGCTTCCTCAATCTGCCTGTTCTGTTCCCTACTCTATCTCTGGTGAATCCTCTTACTGCCCCTGAGCCTCTGGTATGTACCCCAGTTCTGAATGAATAAAAATCTTTTTTTAAAAAACTGTGCTTAGAGAACATTTTTAGTGACATAGGAAAATACTTAAGATGATATCTTAAGTGAGGAGATAAAAATAACAGATAAAAAAACACATAGTAAAGGCCCTCCCTGGTGGCACAGCAGGTTAAAGCAGGTTAAATAAACCTTTAAAAAAAAAACACATAGTAAAATCTCAAGTAACTGAAAATGTATACATGTTGCATATGCAAATTTTAATTTTTCTTCAAATTTTAATTTCCAAATACTCAACATGTACATGTATTTATTTAGAATCCATTTCACTACAAAATCAGTAACTGCAGATGCTTAATGGTAAGCCCCATAAGCTTATAACTGAATCATGAGGTCATAAGTCAATCTCCTGAAGCTGTTTTCCAAAGCAGACTTAAGTGCTACAGGTACTACAACAGCGAATATAGTATAACAATGTTTAAGTGCCAAGTAATCTCTACTTTTCAATCATATTAAGTAGAATTTAGTCTAAATGGTCAGTATACAAAAAACCAAGTGACATTAAAATAACTAGGTCAGTTTTTTCCCAGTTCATTCAATCTCTCATCTCACCTACCCCCTACTCACTCTATACTGGTGTTCCTTTAAGACATAAGGCACACCTGACCAGGAAGATTCTCCTACCTAGCCCACACAGCAATTCCCTGGCTTTCTTTCACCATATGATTCAAATATCACTTTCTTAATAATGCCTGCATGTAACATCCCTATTTAATACCAAAACCTGGCTCCTCCAACCATGCACCCTTCACTCTGCTTTTCTTCTTTCTCCACAGTATTTATTACCTTTTTCTTTAAAAACAGGTTTATTTTATTTATGCATGCATGCAAGAGCAAAGGTGTAGGACAAAGGCAGGCAGAAGAGGTAAGAGAATTCACCAAAGACCGAGTGGGGAGCAGAACAGGAAGAGTAACTGAAACATACCAGTGACAGGAGCAGCAGACAAGACAGGAAAGGTCTACTGTGCCCTGTGTGCCACCTCTCTGGCAGTTCAGGGATCAAACTCTGTGCTGCAGTGGCTGCTGGATAACTTCATAGTGCTGAGACTTAACTCCTTGTGCCACCAGGGAGGGCCTTGCTCAATGAATATGTGTTGGGGTATGCGAATATACTAGTATCATGGCAAAGGACAATCTCTAACTACTGTATCTATTACTTAAAATAGGATAATTTTCTGTGCATATATAATTAATCAAAACACACACTATAGCTTCTTAAAAGAAAATCTGGCCATCTTTATCATACCTATGTGTGGGTGTGTGTTTACCAAAGACTCAGAGCTCACTCACTGGAAAATGTCTCAATTTTTTGTTGTTAACGCTGTGTAGTACAAGCTAGAAAACCAGGGCAGCATAAAATTTTAAAAACTTATACATTATGTCAAATATGCTAAAATACAGTTCACATGGCTCAATACTACCCTGTGTTAAGGGAAAAGTCTTCTAAATTACACTGGCTTTACTATTAAGAAATATTATAAAGATTGGAATAGTTAGCTTGAGAAAGCCAAATCCTGATACAAATTTTGAAAGGTGATAATCTCTATAACTTTTTATTTCAAATGCTATCTCTTCAAATTACAAATGGTCATTGAATTTTGAGACACAGTAAGTCTAATTAAATATCAAAAGTCTGGGGCCCTCCCTGATGGGGCAGTGGGTTGGGACATTCATTGTGAAGTTAAGCCAAGCTGTGGTGGCTTCAGTGCCAGTTCAGTCCTCACTCCGAAGGTGATCCACATGGCACAGCAGACCTTTCTTGCTCCCCCGCTGCTCCCCTCAGCAGCGTACTTTGTTGATCTGCCTGTTCTACTCCCCACTCTGGTGAATCCTCTCACTGCCCCTGCACCTCTGGCTGTACTCCAGTTCTGTATGCATAAATTATTTTTAAAGATATATCAAAAGTCTGATCCATTTTTCTAAAGCAATATGCACAGTTCAAAACTGCCTCTCTCTCTCTCTACATGTATATACACATACATGTATATATATGTACTCATTTCCCTGTGATTTCCTAACATAACCACAGCAGATCAGCCCAACTATCCCCCCACCCACTCTCCCAGTTCTTTTCTAATTTATTAGCCTCTACTCCCAGGGTTTGAAGTCTCTAATAGATCTCATAGAACACAATGTAAACACCCAAAGATGTTGTCTAGACAATACCTCTGAATGACGTTCTACACTTCCAGTGTCTGATCCAGAGGGCTGCTCATTTACATCATCCTCAACATCTGATCCTGAATCCCGTTCATCCTGTACTGGGGTAGCGCCACCATCATCTGCTTAAAAATAAAACAAAACCCACTTAAGATGTAAGATGGATGACATCTACAGCTGAAATGAACACCATGAGTAAGAGCAAAGGTTACCACTAATGAAGCATAACTAATGACACTAATGCTGTGAACAAGAACCACAGTTACAATACTTACACAAATACCAACAATCACAAGAACAGTGACTTATATAGCAACAAAAAGGCATGTGAAGTTTAAGAAACTTCACTGGGACCAAGTCAACAAACTTACATACCTAATTTGTCTATCAATATCCCTAATAGTGTGCTCTTTATTTCAATTTTATACTAAAAATCTTCTATTCTTGCCACCTCATACATTTCTCAATTTCTAATGCACTTCACTACATGATTTACCAAGTTATTTTGTTCAATATGGGTCTTTCCTCACTTGAATTAAAATGCGTGCCAAAAGAACAGTAATTTTGGTTCACTGCAGAATCCACAGGGTCCAGAACACTGACTGATGTACAGGATGTTTATGAAAGAAAAACAGAAGCAACTCCAGTCCAGAAACAGAATAAATTCATTAAAACATAAACTATTACAAAACGGTATTTAAAAAAAAAGGAACTGTTACCTATCTTTAATCAATACCTTAAATATATAAATTGTAGGGAGAAAAATTTAGAATTGCCAGAGGATATAGGAAGACTTGGTTAGAAGTTTAATGCAAATAACAAAATGAAGACATCACCTTCAATAAAAATGAACTCACTACTGTACTAATGAGTTGGCCAGGAGAAAAGTATATTCATAATATATGTTAATATACATGGATATATATTCATAATAAAAAGTTTTTTAACAAATAATTACGCTGCAACAGTATGGGGTGTCAACATTAAGAGGCTAAAATCCTGTTGTAGCAAGATAGGAAGGAAGTCTTTTCAGAATGCCTTAAGTGATGCAACAAGAAACAGCATAGATTAGGAATAAGAAGGTAAGTATCTGAACCCTGCTAAAAGAATTGAAAATCAGGAAGCTGATTATTTGTTTCTTCTGGCATTTACTGTAAACAAGTGTATTACATATAACTACTTAATAAAAATAGTAACACGAATTGAAAAACTGGTTGACAATATCAGGAAAGCTTTTCAGGCAAAGAGCAATGCATGCCTGCCCAAAAAAAAAAAAATTGCATGTAAAGGATCCAAAACATAAGAAGTTATTTAATAAGCACTTCTGCTAGGGAACATGCAAAGAAACTAGAGCACAAAGGGAATGCAAATCAAAAGTAACTTTTTTCCTCCCCATGGAGGTCCTGTCCTATTTGTATTCCCGCGCCTACCAGTGTTAGCAAAGTGGGGCTCAAAACGTGTTTATTCAGCAGGAAAGAAAGGAGACCAAACGTAAATGAGGTGGAGGACAGGTATCAAGGTGAAAGAGGCAAAAGATAGGACAACGTGCCGTACTCTAAAACTTAATTTATACACCTGAAAGTATTACGTTTTCTTTAGTGGGATACCACTGCAACAGGCAAAATTAGACCAGCTTAACTTGGAATGAAAAATCTTGGTAAAAAGCTGCACCCCTATTCCAACTGCACAGCTTTCTTGGATTCTCGAAGACAATGCTCAACTCGTAGGAAAATTTCCTAACGGGAGAAACCTGCCCTAAGTCTTTACACACAGTGGCGCTTACTATTTATGTGGCCCCCGGTTTCAGACAAAACCTTGGTCCACTCGCGCCGGTTCTCCATCTATAGTCACCTCCTCAAGGTTCTACCCTCGGGCCCGGGGTGGATCTTAGTGCCCGCTTGCCCGGCTCGTCAGACCCAGCCCGGGAAGGGGAAGTCCCCGGGCCTCGCGCCTCTCCATCCTCTCCCCCTCCCGGGTACAAGGCCCAGCACCGCAGGCACCGCCCCGCCCCCAGTCCTGCGCCCCAGATCCCAGCCCCACCTGACTGGTCGCCGCTGTAATATTCCGAATCCATGGCAGGCGGGCTCTCCGCGGGGAGTGTCCGGGCCCCGCGCCGCCCCCGTCACTTCCTTTCAAGCCGTGTGACCCGCGCGGCTAGGGGCTCAGAGGATCAACCCCGACTACACGGCTTGGAGAATAAATCAGTCGGAGGGCACACGTGAATACCCAGAACTATCAGGCCAGATGGAAAAGGCCGCACCCGGCAGGCTTACGGGCCGTAGCTTCCCAGAAGCGCCCCTGGGGCCAAAATGGCGTCTGCCCTCGACCCTCAGAGGGAGGCCTGCGCAGGCGCTGTCAGCTAACAACCGGCCAATGAGAAGACTCAATGGTAGTGACGTGCTTCAAGGCAGAAAGAGAGAATTCTGGGAACATTGAATAGGCTCTCTGGCTTCAGTTAGGTACCGTATCTTGGAGTGCCGTGGTCTGTTCGTAGTGGAGATGATGTTACTTAGTTGGCTCTGTGGTCTCGCCTAGTTTGAGGAATTTACAATTAATCTTTGGAAAAAATGAAGGCCTGGTGAAATCTCATTTGCATCATTCAGCTATCTTCTTTCCTTCAGTCAAGGAGGCACTTGATTCCCGCCCTTTTAGGAGGGGCCGAGGGAGGAGCGCATTGTTCTCTGGGACTTGTAGTTTCAAGCTTAGGCAGCTATGCAATATTGCTGGCTTTTTTGTGGGCATGTTCTTTTCTACGTTTTTTTTTTTTAAGATTTATTTATTTGTGCATACAGATATGGGGTACAGTCCAGAGGCCTAGGGGTGGCGAGAGGTTTCACCATAGAGTGGGGAGCAGAACAGGCAGATTGAGGAAGAGCACTGCTGAGGGGGGCAATGGGCGGGTCATGAGAGGTCTACCACGCCATGTGGTCACCTCTGGGGCAGGCATCGAACTCATGCGGAAGTGACTTTAGCTTCTCAGTGCTGTGCTTTAGCCTGCTGCACCACCAGGGAGGGCCCTTTTCTTCATTTTTTAATGAACCATTTAATTTTCTCTTGAGAAGTCAGCTGATCAACAAGAAATGAAGTTTTTCTTCCATAAAGATTTAACCCTCGTGAAACCTTGAGGTAGATGACATTGTTAAACTTTACTCGAAACCTATGCTCCTCTGAGCCACACTATTTAAGAAACTTCCTGATCCATCAGTGTTCTCAGAAAGGCTCACTGTAAAGAAGGATTCTTCTACCTATTAGTCAGATAAAACTCACTCTCCATTCTTTTTCATGTATTCCGTAAGACTTGCAGATCTCACAAGTTGGGCCAAAGATCCTTTCCTATTTTTTCTGAATGCTCTCAAAGGGGAGACTGAGGTCTTTGAACTTCCTCTTTGTTTCATGAATGATTTGGTGAAATTAGAACCCTGCTCCCCTGAAGCCAGCTAAAAATTTTCTGTTCACCTAGTTGAAATGTCTCCTGATTGCAAATCAACCCCAACTATAAAGTATTTTTTATTCCTCCTTATGAAAGGCTAAGGCAAAACCGCCAGAGAGCCATGGCACTGATCATATCTGGAATGGGTTCTCCATTGCAATACCCTGAATAAAATCCTATTTCTTTTTGTCTTAGACAAAAAGGAGACTATGTTTTTGCTATTGATTACAACAGGGCAATTGCAGGTATAACCAAAGTTCCCCAGAGGGCCTAGTTAGTTAGCAAGACATACAATCTTGAGCTGCATTTCTGAGCATGCCTAGACTGCTATAAGGACTCGTGTGATGTTCTGAAAGAGCGATCTTCTACATTGGAGTTGAGAGATGTGTATTCTCTGATGCCAGCTCTGCTTGCAATTCTCAGAGTGCCTTAGTCAAGTCACATCCCAACTTGAGTCATCTTTGAGACCTTTGTTAGCTAGTCAGAATGTGGCCAACCTAGTTCTAGGCTTCAGAAAAGGACATGGAATAGGATGGAAAGGAGTAGTTTCCCTCTGGAAATTGTAATTTTCTTGAAAGCAATTTTATGAGTATTGCTTCCCCTGTATGGTGGAAACAACTCTGAAATCCAAATCTACCCTTTCATTTGTGGGAATTACACCTTCACAAGCTGTTGAAAGAATCGATCAAAAGACCAAGGCATTGGCAATGTCTAGAACTAAAATCACAACATTAAAATATAATGGACTCAAAACAACATGGAAATTGGGGGTGTTAATCCCTATCCATATAGTCAAAAATTAATGACTAATAAGCCTGCTGTTATCTGGAAATCTTGCAGATAACATAAACAGTCTACAAATGTTGCCAGAAATGCCAGGTCTTGCTGCCTATCACACAGAAAGCCAATGAGTAGAAACAGGAACTGAATCTAAAAGCAGTTTAATTTTTCAGATCTCTGGCCATTGATATGGGAGAATTGCAGATATAGCACCCTGAAAAAGCCATTCTGCCTTGGCCACTGATCTGAGAAAAGAGTAGGCATAATGCCCTACAAAGACCATTTTGCCATCTCATCACTAGCAGGCTGTTTTATAGTGAGTGAACAAAAACAGTCAAAAGTAAATCAGTTTATCAGAACAGCCCATCACAGTTGATGTTCCTGATAGTCCTTACATTGAATCCCCAGAACTTGTTACCAGCTTCCCCATTATCTTGACCCTGGTATATTTGATAGTGTCAATGTCCAGCATTCCTTCTGACATCATCAGGGCAGGAGTCTTAGTTTAAAGTAAAAGTTTTTAACTTAAAGAAAACATCGCTTTGTTGGTGGGAAAACTGGTGACCACTCCTGAGGCAATCCAATTGTAAGCTGAAAGTTGCTCAGAATATTTTGATATTACGATTATACAAAAAAGGGAGGTCATAACATAAGTTAGCATGGAAGGTCGGATTTTTCAGAGCTCTTCCATCTCCAGAATATGTCAGTCGGTAGAAGTCCTGTATTGTAAAAAGCATTAATTTTTTGCTGTATGGGTGGGGACTAACACCCCCAATTTCCATGTTATTTAATAAAAGAGGATGTTTAAAACTAAGAAGGGGGGGTAGATTAGTGTGTACATGCAGCCTATACTATGTGTTGTGCCCTTCCCTTCCTTCTTAGCCCCCTGTCATTTACATATATTTTATTCATTGTATGTATATGTTGTTTTTTTATATTATAGTAAGCTAGAAAAAATGTTAGTAAGAACATGTCAGGTAGAGAAAATACAGTTACAGTACTGTATGATCTTAATTGATACTGTAAGTCTATATCATTTTTATTTTAACAGTTCCACTTATAAGTGGACCTGTGCAGTTCAAAATGTGCTGTTTAAGGGTTGACACAAACTATGCAACCTCTACCGACTGACATATTCTGGAGATGGAAGAGCTCTGAAAAATCCGACTTTCCATGTTAACTTATGTTATGACTTCCCTTTTTTGTATAATCGTAATATCAAAATATTCTGAGCAACTTTCAGCTTACAATTGGATTGCCTCAGCCGCATAAGGCCTGCCTGCCCTGACAAGCAAGCACTGCACCAGGGTGAGAAATTCCTCTGAAGTCAAAAGTGACTTGACAACTGGCTGACCAATAAAAGCAAAAGGGCTGTTTCTGCAAATTCTCTCTCACTGCTGGATGGAGGAAAACCCAAATCTTATCACTCTACTATCTCACCTAGCCTTCTATTCAGGTTCTAAAGAATTACTCAAACTTTCTACTGTGTGGCCTTTAGATGTGGAAATTCATCCAAGTTGCCTGTTTTAGAGCTAATCAGGTTTTCTACCTGCAACACTTCAAAGGAATTCACACAAGTCTTCTGGCTAGTCTTTCAGGATTCTACTGTTTTATTTATTTTAGATAAGGAAATTCACCTGTGTCTCCTATTCAGCGCTAATTACGCTTTCTACTGTCTAGACCTCAAGAAAACTCACTTAAAACTTCCTAACAAGTTTCTTCAAAGAACTTTTCCCTAATTTGATTTGCAAGAAATTTCCTCTTCCTGCCTCCCAGGATGTCTCAAGTAGAAAAAAAGACCCACTAAGTAGTAGATAAGGTTTAAGGGACTTTATTTTAGTTAATCTTCACTATAGTAATATTAGTCTTAAGTCTTAAACTTTGTGCGTCTATGTACCTGTTTTTAACCTTGATTGATTTTAGAATGTTATAATCTCAAGTAAAGGTCAAAAGGACCCCAGACTATTCTTAGAAAAAAGGTGATTGTGATCTCAGCCCCTTTCGTATGCTAATGTCATCCCTCTGCCAGCCTGAAATGTATAAAATAAACCTTTGCTGAAGGCAAAGCAGGAAGATTTGCACCCAACTCCCATTCCCCCCTGTCTTCCTCACTCCCGCTCCCCTTTACTCCCCAATTTTTGGAATATCGCCTTGCCAGACGTCGTTCCCACCTTGAGACCCTGCCTGTGTCAGCCTCTCAACAGCCTGAAATCGGGGCAGGTTCCCGACAAAGGGTCAATATCAACTGTACTCATTTCCCTCCATTACATAGAAAGACTCAGGATCTAAACTTTTGCAAAGTGAGTCTGTACAATTATGCCTATATAAAGAAGGCAAAACAATATGGCAAAAGTACAGGAAGAGGTTCAATGCAAGGAAAACCAGTGCAAAAGCTTCCCATAAAGATCAGTTACAATATCAGCTAAACAATTTTTAGACAGTTACTGAATTTTCACTATTCTCAGGGACTGGAGAGATAAAAGCTGACTGAATGCACAGTGATGTGCTGAGTCCCTGAAGGCTGCAAAGCAATGTCTGAAAAAAAGTAGTTTTGTACTCAGGAAGCTAATAATTTAGTGAGATGGGACACACCTTTTCAGATAACTAGAATTTTGGTTAAAGCAATGTGCTTATCCACACAAAAACAGCTCTAGGAAAGTTCCCAAAAGCTTCTTTCCACCTACCTGCTGCCTTTGAAGGGTCCTCAACAGAGATATGCAAGAGCAGCACAGATTTACCTTTCTGAGTCTTGGCTTTTTGAGGACTGCCGTCTCCTGAATCCCAAGGCCCTCTCCAGCCCCCAGCACAACAGTCCATGCTGGGGTCATAAAGCTGTATCCCCACCCAGGATACTGAAGACAGAGAAGAGGGGAAGAAAGATGGGTTTTTAGCAGTCTAGAACACTCTCTTCCTTGACATTGAGTTCCCTAAATGAATACATTCTTTGGCCAGCCATTTGGGACACTATAACTTGAACATGTCAGTGAAACTGCAAACCTGGAGGAATGTCACAGACAGATGATCCTCATATGCACACTTACAATTACAGGACACAATTCAAACATGGAGAGTAGCAACAAAAACGGGGTTTATTTACA